TGAGGTAACATTGACTTCTTTTATTAAAAATTATCTTTATTAAGTTTTAACATCTTACATTAAAATACAAATTAACATAAAAAGGGAAACACTAGTTGTGCTTCTTGTAGTGTTAGGGAAGAGACACAGAGACACAGATATTTTTTCTTCTGTCTTACATTATTATTGAATATTTAGAAAGCCAAACATAAGTCCCACTTTGCTAGTGATTCTTTCATAGCCAATGAATGAGTTATGTCATCCTTATGTCTTAAACCTACAATTTAAGACATAAGGATGACATAACTCTTAAACCTGAGTCCTTGGGAGAAGGGCAGCATATAAATCTAAATCTAATAAACCTAATTTGCTAATGGGATACTCAAGCACCCCATCTAGCGCTTAAATGAGGAGAGTTACGATATCTTCATTTTGGAAAGGGGTTGGATATATGTTTATGCCACATGTGGGCATCCCTTTAAGTGTCATAATTGGCTCACATAGGCCAATAAAAGCTTCTAATGAAATAGCTGCTTACTGTATATTTTTCAGTGGGTAGGATTTCATTTATAATTGCTTCTTTGATTCTCTGGTTAATTGAAAGCAATCTATAAGCAACCATATCAGTATAAGCAATGCTTAACAGTTCATCTCATGATCTTTCTACCATTTTTATTTTCTTACTGGGATCTAGGAGTTGGATAATTTAATCCAGGATATGGACAGTGATGAAAACAAGGTGAGTAAAACAAGGAATTTTTTTCTCCTGGATATAAAGTAATTTTTGGAAATTCTTATTTATCTATATGGTTTGTTTGCTCATTCATTCTTGTAGATACAATCTTTTATCTATTCGTATTATTCTAGGGCTATCGTATTCAAAAGTGTATGAATGTGGTTACTGATAATTCTTTACCAACATTGATGTTCATAGTGATGCATTCTTCTTAAACATTATTAGAAAGTTAATTTGAAATGAGTTGTTCCCATGCATTTCCAAAATATATAAAGGTTAAAGGGAAGCAAATATTTATCTCTGCCCTATCTAAATTTCAGATCTTCATTCCACTTTACAATTTAATGATAATCAGTGAGCACGGTTACTGATAAATCAAGGTGTACAGTCACATGAATACTTTGATTATTCAGCCTGGTACAATCTGAAATTGTACAACTGGAAAATCCAGAAAATGAAAGATCTATATGGCATTCTGAGTCTTTGAATATGCCATTTCCCCCCCTGTCTTTACCAGCAATGAAAAGACTCTGACAAAATTAAACCCAGGAGGCTCATCTAGAATTTGGGGCATAAATATTTAGACTGATAAGGCATATATATATAATTTATAATGATAAACGGACATTTTGTGCACTCTGGGCAATTGTTATTCCACACAATGATTCTCTCTCTCTCCTGTGGTGAATAAACCTATTGTGTTTTCTAATTCAGTAAGTCTTTTGTAATACATTCCAGTGCCTGGCCCACAAAGCAACTCTTATCATTCTAAATGCATGCATTGTTTCAAACTTTATACACAGTCTCTGCTGCTTTGCATCTTTTGGCAGTAATCCCAAAGGAAAGCTCTTCCAATAAGAAAGAGAAGTCTGTGCACAACAGGCCTTGCAGATATTCACTTCCCGGTGCAGACTTCTTTATATCACACCTCTTGGTCTTCTACAGACTAACCATTTAGGTTAAAGTCTCTATCAGAAACTATTAGGAAGTGAAGGAAAACCGGTGCATCCCAAGGTCAATATCCTACTTATAGAATTTCAAGTCACATTGTTTTTCTTTCTGTTTCAGATTCAGGCATACCTGAAATGCCATAAACTACGTTCTGCCTACCTTATCTCTGTAAAACAAGAAAATGTAAGAGCGGTGCAGTTGGTTCAACACATACAGCAAATGGCAGAGGACGGTGGGGATGATGTAGTGCAAGCCATCTGCACCCAGTGGCTTTCAGTACATCACACTAAGCCGAGAAGCTGGCTTACCCAAAATTCCAAGAAATGACTCCCAGAAAAATTTTGGGTCATTGTTTCTAAAAAAGGGGAAATATTACATTGTTCTAGATTCAATCATGGCTGCAAACTGGAACGAAGCGGCTTGAATGCCTGTACTCAAAGGGAAAGGATCAACTGCCTAAAAGTGCCACTCATGATGCAGTGACAACCAACTACCTCTACTTCAGGGTGTTTATTCTTTACATACTTCATATTTTCAGTGCTGCTTCAGCTGTGTCTTACTTTATGATCATGGAGATCTCTCTCCTTCAGTCACTGTTTTATGAATGCAAATCCCACATCCACAAGATTTTCTATCTACTTGTGATTCCCGACACTGCAAAGCTACAGCCAAATCAATAAAGAAACGTGCCCATTTTGAGATGGGCCCAGTGATCTATTGCTTTTCATAGCACGGAGCTGTAATTGAATTCTGTCCATAAGAGACAACAGGTCTGTAAGCCTACACCTGTTACTATCTGAGGCAAGGAAATAACAAGTTAACACAGAAAATGGAGGAAGAAATGATAAAGGTTGCATAGTAGTTCCCACTTGGAACCTTTACCCATATTTGATACCTTTCCCTGAAGCAGTCTGAAGTTCTCATTGTCCTTTCAGTGACATAATCTAGAAAACGGGAGACCACAGCACACTCTATATAAGAGGATATGATTGTAATTGATAACAAGTTTTTAATTTAAAAAATTCAAACTGTTATCAAAATATTAGTTGTAAGAAATTATTCAGGATGGTTTAATCTTTGGGTTTTTTAAAAAAATAATTAGATGAACCATCCTTTCCTACTAATTTTAGCAAATAGTGTAAGCTGCGCTCTTTCAGGGAAACAATAGCCACAGCTCACAGCCACAAGTGTAGTAATCCTTAATTTATTGGATTTGGCAGCCAGAAATAACCTTGAGGTTAAGTAACTTGGGAAGGCTATATTTAGCTTCCATTGTTTCATACCCTTTGGGTCTTAGAAGTTATCCTATTAGGAATCTAAGAGTTATAAAATCTGCTTTTGCTATCAAGCTCAACTGCCATGCGTCCCAGATCTGATTGGGCTTTTTGTGACTCTAATTACTACTACTACCTTAAGAAAGGAACAGGATTCATTATTTGCTGTGTGTTAAGCTATACTGCCTATTGAGTTTAGTAAGTAACATGGCTTGTACTTTCATCTCCAAATTCTTCTCATCAATACCTTCCAAAGGGAAGAAAGGAAAGACTGGTGGGGGAGAGAAAATAGAGGCGATTGTTGGGTCCACTCTTTGCACTGCATTTTATGCACTTTATATTGTTTGTTACTCGGATTCTTTAGAATTTTTCAAAGATCCCTTTCTCACCAGCAAAACCTGTCCTGTGACCTATCCTGTAGGAAACTGTAACGAAGGAATTCTAAACTTCCAATGAACAAAAGTGTTAAACTCTCATTGAGAAAATAAAGAATGTGGACAACTTTCTGTCTTAATTTGTAATATTGTTTCTTGTTACATTTGTAGCTACAGAATAATTCAACCTGAAAGAAATCAAGACAACAAAACCATGCTGCAACCATCTAAAAACTTTTTTTTAAAATAATTGGTGCAATTTTGTACCAATGTTTCCATACCATACTGAATCACAAATGAGCCAGCAACCTTTTAGCCAAGAATGCTGTACAAAACCACATCAAACAATTCATAATTCACACTGCCAGAAAACCCAGGAAAACTAAGGATTGTTTTTTTTTTGTAGGGGGAATCAGGAAACCTTCAGCATGGAGTGGATAGTTCCATCCACTAAACAATTCTATTTTAATTGAATTAATTGAATGTGATCTATATCGATCTATGAAAATTCCATGAAAGTAATACTTTTCCAGAGTCTCATATACAAAATATGGAATTCAGGTGCAGCTGGCCTTTGTAGGTCAATTCCACTGGATACCAAGGAGTTCACAACTAACATTCCAAAGCTTCTTTGCTGTTTCATCATTACGTCCTTGAGATGACACATATGCTGGTTTACAATCACTGTGATATAAAGGAAGAAAGTATATTAGTAATGTTCCATTGCATTAATAATTCTTATTCTAATTAATTATATTAATTTCAGCATAATTATATTAAATGATTATAATTAATATGTTCAGGCTTAGCAAAAAAAAAAGGCCATAAAGCATACTAATTGTAAGAGGCATATGCCTGAACCATAGACATTACTAATACAAGATATCAGCATTCCTTCCTTTTTCTAACACAGGATTTACACTATATATACAGTATATAATGTAGATTTACAATACACACACATATCCCACTTCGGAACAGCTGCAGTTCAGCCAAAATAAAGCCTGAGGAATACCAGTAGTCCTCCGCTTATGAGCACAATCAAGCTGAAAATTTCCATTGCTAAGCAAGACAATTGTTAAGTGAGTTTTGCCTCATTTTACAACCTTTCTTACTAAATTTGTTGAGTGAATCACTGTCATTGTTTAATATCAGGGTTGTTAAGAGACTCTGGCTTCCCTATTGGCTTTGCTTGTCAGGTGGTCTCCAAAAGTGATCACATGACACCAGGACACTACTAACAAGCCAGTTGCCAAGCAGCTGGATTTTGATCACGTGACCATGGGGATGTTGCGATGGTTGTAAGTGTGAAAAACGGCAAGTCTCTTTTTCCCAGTGCCGTAACTTCATAAGGTCACAAAACAAATGGTTGTTAGTCGAGGACTACCTATATTGAATTTCATAAGGCAAATTCATCAAGACTGAAAGCCAATTTGGTGTAGTGATTAAAAGTACCAGGTTGGAGCTTGGAAGGCCATGGAGTCTAGTTCTGCTTTTGGCCCAAAGCCAGCTAGGTGTTCTGATCTAGGCTTCCCCAGAGAGCACGAAGCCAAGTCCTGGTCCGATAAACCCCTTTTATTTAATTTACAGTGAATTCCTCTCCAGCAAAGTCTTTCCTCTCCCGCAATCTTTCAAGATAGTTCACAATTACCTATCTTTATCAGGCTTGGAGAGTGGCCAGGCCGATATCTTTCAGATGCCGCAATACTTGGCAAGAATGCAGGAATGAACTAATTGTCTCCTGCAAACAACTCTCTCCTTTCACTTCTCTTTTATTCCCTATGGGA